GAAGAACGAATGAAAATACATCAATGAGTGAAGAAGCGAAAATTCGCCACGCGGATGAAGCTATAGTTATGCGCTTGCGCGCGAGACACCCCTGAAGGTATACTGTAACCTTAAATGGGTTCACATTAGTTAAGTTTACATGTTTTTCAGAAGTCTTTCAGTTACAGCTTGTTCAGCTAGCCAAGAGAAATAGGTCCATAGGCTTGAGTAGGCATGAAATTGAAGTTTTCAACATGCAGGCATGAGACACATGTCTTTAATATGCATGAGAAGTTGAAGGTATACCCATCTCTTGCTTGTCAGCCATTTCAGTGAATAGGTTGATCAATTTGCTTTCAAGTCGGAGTCCAAGTCAATAATGTGTGGTCAGTTGTTATGCCCCAATATATTTTACAGGGCCATTACTACACAAAAAAATTGAGGTTGAAAGGAATATATCAAGTTACCCTTCAAGTATTGATGAGCTAACTATTCTCAAATCAGTACAATAGTTACAAACTGGAGTACTATTCCGACTACCTAAGGCTGCTACTCATGCTAACTAGTGTGCTATTCATTCTAGCTGCTTGTTACATTGGTGCTGTTCCTATATATATTTAGAGTGTCATCTCCATTCCTGCTTAACATTTGTCATTCAGAGCTATGAGGAGGAAGAGCTGGGCTATACCACTAATAACATGGGCTGACCTGGCCTGGGGGTGGACTCAGAAAACAGATTTGCTTCTCTTCAGCCTATCGCAGATTAGAGACTTTGTTCTCAGTTAATTAGTTTATATTTAAATCAATGGGATGTTGCTTTTTCCAACAATCTGATTGGTTCATTAGGGTAGGTATAAACAATAGCTTAGTGAAACAATTATTAAAACAATAATTGAATTAATTATAAGACGATAATAATAAGATTTCTTTAAGGTTTGTACAATAAATATAATCCCTGCTCCTTTAAAATGAAATTCTACAGCGTTTGATAATGAATTTTTTGTTGGTTCAGTAGTTAGTGACAGCCATTCTTTGAATTGGAAAACGCCAACCTTTCACTGATGTCACCTAGAGACTTAGCTCGTGCGCGGACCCAGTGGCGGATTTTGGGTAAAAAAAGAAAAAAGAAGGAAGGAAGAAAAGCCAGCGGGGGCAGCAAAAAAAAGGCGGGTCCCCCGCCTTAGCTCAAGGTCTGGATCCGCCACTGACCTGTCCACAAATGCGCGACTGGAAAAAAAAAGCCTCTGGTACCTAGGGCATAGCGGTTGGTGCCCGGTGCAAAAAAGCGCGCGCCTAGAATGGCAAAAGTTTTACTCTTAGAAAAGTGGTAATTGTGTGGGCCAATGGACTAGCATTCTATGTTAGAAGTACCAGAAATACCCGTTGAACTAGCTTCATACTATATAAGTCAGACTAAAGAGCTGGCTTCATGAACTAGGAGGCTTAGTTTGGTTATTTTCATTTTTACATCGACCATCAACAGTACAATTTGCTAGTAAAAATAATATTCCCGACAAAGTCTTAGTCTCCAGTTCATTATTTACAAAGAATATTTGCAAATACTGCACAAGTGAAGCAGCCGGTTTAATATTTCAACTGCTGTTTTATACCGCCCGGCAGCTTGAAACAGCAGACGAAGCGGACCTTGTTAAGCTAAGGAATATACAGAGGTCCTTAATATTAAGAAATAGAGACCATTTCAAATGGGGCTATTTTTTAAAGGTGTTCTCTCAGTATCAGAGGTGAACATACATAGATGAGTTTCGTCAAATTGCTGGTTTTCAGTGTCACGCAATTCAAAATAGATCAAAATAAAAAACAAAACTGGTCAATAGATAAAGTCCAGAATCTGGGAAATAAAAGAAGGTAAATATGCAAAGACTCTCGCCAAAATTCTGGTCACAGCAATTTTTCTTA